ACAGTGATGGAGCAATTGAGTGACAGACCGGATTGGCTAATCAGGAATAAAGTTTGACTAGCAACTTGCACACTTACTCCTTCCATCAGCCACAACCACCCATCTCATTGGCAATACAACTTAAACAGTACAACATTGGTGCAAAAAATTCGTTGATCATTTAACAGTACAACACGTAAACAACAACAAGTAACAACTTAGCCAAGACCTGTGGCAGGAGTCGCAGAGATTTGTGAAAGGTTTAGCAAAAAGCCTTGAAGGACTTATAAACAAAGACTGTTTATATTCAAACAATGACAAAAATCTTTATTTTGGTACCTCGTAAGGTCAATAAATGTCTACCTTCATTATTTCATTCAGGTAACAGAGTCAAAAAGTTAATGCTTTTGTACCATCATTAAATTCTTTGTACAACATGTATTGAGTTGAAGATGTTTACTTTTGTACAGTACTTGCAAAATCACAAAGTAAAAATAGGTACAAATATCTTTAATTGATATGATGCAGTGTGAACACTGGGACAATAAATATCATGTGAACACTTTATACATTTATAATTTGAACTCATGGAAATACATTTTCCTTTGAACACTCATTAGAAATATTTGCCATGCATACTGGGTGGCTCCCATGCTGTCATTGCATTGCATGATCCTCAATCTGAAAGTTCTCTACTTCCAGCACTAAGGTAATACATAGGAATAGGCCAGGTTTATTGAGCCATAAATAGAACTATACTGTACATGAGTTCTGTATACAATGATAGTTATCAGTAAATACTACTGTTGCTACAGATATAAAATAGTGCACACTGTATAAATAATTGTACCTTTTACCATATCATCATATACTGTAATGAACTAGACTATGTAGTTAAAATATTTATTTTCAAGATTTTCACTGTTTAATTCCTTCACCAAACCATTAAAAGGGAAAGAAAACTTAAATTTATAGTTCAGTCTATCCCTCCGACTCTCCACCACTGATGATTTTACACACCAAAGCTGAATGTGACCCATGTCCAACTTTAACCAATTCACTCAATATATCCCTGTCTTGTGCTTTCTCTGTTTCCTTGTGAGTAATGGACAATATGCTATAATATTTCCAAGAATTAAGTTAAGATAAAGAGTATTGTTACAAATCTGAATTTTTGGGGTAGATCAAAATATCATACTAATTGGACATTGACACGCACACACATGTCTATTGAAGAATCATTGATTTAAACTAAAACTCAGTTAATTTCCAGAAGAATAAAAGAAATCTAGGTTACTTTAAAAGACCAACTATTATTTTATTCCCATCAATAATGCCTATTTTCGAGGTACCTGTGCTCGCTCTACAAATGCTTTACAGGTTAGCCATTTATGCCCAACCAAGCTTCCTGACTCATTTGCATCTGCTTTACAATCCTGTCTTTAGCGACCTATGCCTCAACTACCCTTTACAGTCTGTGTTTGGAAATTCGTTATCCCCTTCGTGCGCCTTCTTTTCCTGTACGATGCTGAAATCAACTGTGGAGTATAAATCTAGCATTTTCTGGGGTATTATCTCTGTCATTTGCCATAACAAGAATGACAGGAATATCATAGCAGTATCTATAACCCTCCTTCACTGTCATACCAATACTTTAATTGGTGATAGATAATTGTACTGTGCAGTGAGTTTGTATGATGATGAATGTAAGTTGCTTCACCATGTTTAAATAACACCTCCCTGGAAGTACTCAAGAATCCCAGTAAGAAAGAAAGACACCTGTTACGTATATCTTGTGAGTAGTAGTTAGGAAATACTACTGGCCTAAAACTCTACACGACTTAACACCTATATTCGTATACCATGCACTTTATACTATAAGTAGAATGTATTTTAATAGTAATTTTGTAGTCTACCAAAGTTTCGTACACATGAATCTAATGCAGAGGCCTTATGAGTACTGTATAGAGGAGTATTAGCACTGGTAATGTATTTTAATTTTAGTCCCATCCAGCATTCCCAAATCCATTCATGGTTGGGGTTCATGTGATCAGAAATGTCATTGGGTGAAGATCTTCAAAGGTGTATCTTGTACTGTACAGTACTGTACTCCCAAATGTTCTGTACATTACATTCTAATATAGACAACTCATGGCTGTTTAAACCATAACTGTATCAGATTTTGTTTGATGATTCACTTATTGTCTTAATAATTAATTTTTAGCCATGGCTCTCTTTTATGATTTGGTTGTAAAAAAGATAAAATGCATTAAATTAATTATAAGTCGTTAAAAATATCCATACACCTACAAAGCATGTAATACGGACAATGTATACCTGTATGCTGTACAGGTATATTTATTCTTTGTATGGAAGAGATAAACTACATACAATGTTAAGTGTCAAATAGTGAAGCTAATAAGTCCTTTAAGTACAAGAGAACAAGGATATGTTTTAAAAGAAATTAGATTTAAACAGTTCATTTGTAGTGTTGTCAAAAGAACTTCCAAAAATACTGAAGTGTCTACAAAAATACAAATACGTAATTCAAGAAAAATCCCAATATTACTGTGCAGTGCATGTGTTTGTCAACTGACCATTGAGGTGTAGTAATTCAGGTAATTTTAGTGATATTCATTTAAGTAATCATTTTACTCTCCTCCATCCTTGTCTGATTTTTTAATTTTTTTTTGGAATGTGACATGCAAAAGACAATGGCCAGGTGCAAAACATCATGAATTATGAAACACTTACTTATGATATCAGTTTGCAGTTTGTATAAAATTAAGAGAGACCGATGCTGAAAATAATAATTATCTCAGTAAACCAAAAACAGCATATTATACCTATTGCACAAGATACTGCATAGAAATTCTTTTATCTCCACATACTTCTCGGAGTAGTGGCAGACTTGTAACTCATTATAAAACTGATTTCATCGTATACTTTTAATTTCATTGAAGAAAGATGCTCCAGCAGATCACAGTTGAATGTCTGTATCACATTACGTATTTCTTTTATTTCAGAGGGGTGTGTGTGTCTGGTGGTGGGGCTGTGTAGGCCATGTGGACGGTCAATAACATGATTTTTGTTTTCTACTATGTACTCTGTATACTAAATGCTGTACAGATTACTGTACAAGATATTCTGTTTCTGCGCATATAAAGTATATGGAACAATCATACAGTAAAATCCTTTCGCTTTAATTCTTCTTATAAGAAATATAAATACTTAATGGACAACTCCATATGAGAAATATTTTTCAAAGTGACACCCATGTGTATCTTCATGCCCAAAAACAAACAATAATGAAACCTATAACCACCATTTAAAAATATATTTGATGAAATAAATTTTGCGGAAAAATTGCCAGTATTTTGATACTGTATATGTATCCCTGACATTGCAAGAGGAATAGATGACTCTCAATGGCAAATAATTTTTCAAGTACAGTATATTATACTGCAGACACCAAAATTAAAATCCCACAAAAATATAAATAAATTACCGGTATGTAATTTATTTATGATTAAAAAACACATACACATCGAATAAAATATGTTTTGACGACTAAGAGATTGAGTGCTTATGGTCTGGAGACTTAGCAGGCAGCTAGTATGGTCTTGTTAATAATATATCAATAGTCATTACGGATTTGTCCAGTACTGTATATAGTTAACACCTGTACAGTACCATATTATTCTTTTTATCTTATTACGAATTTACATCATACTATACAGTACAATATTAAGTTTTTTAAATAGAAATTATATTAAAATAAGTTAGTACATATGTACGGTATTGTAATGTTGGTGTCATTGTGATTTATCAAAGATTTCCTAAACTGACGTCACACACAACACCAAGGAGTCAAAATGGTTGTTGAGCAAGACAATGCCGTCAAAAAAAATAAATACAGTAAATAAAAAAAATTCAAGTTACTATCAATTTTATGAAAAGTATACCAAGATTACCACTGAAAAAGAAATGAGACTGGAGTTGGCCTTTAAGCAATTTAGGTTATACAGTATTTTGTATATCTGTGATATCATTTATAATTTAATACAGACATTCCTGAATTGTATTCTCTAATGCATTGTGAATTTGTGACAACAGTGAACCGAATAATTATTTCCATCACATCATGCTGTTACACATCCCCCACACAGACCATACCCCTAACTCTGACCACACCCCTCCCCACTCAGACCACACCCCCAGCAGGTGTTACTACGCTCGTCTTGCACTGCCTTAACCTACTTCGGCTGCACTGGTATCTCAAATGATTTTTAAATAAACTAATAACTAATATAAATAAAGATTTATAATTACAGTCGAAATCTTACGGTGCCCCAAGAGACTAAAGCAAACTCTCTTCAACTCTGGCTAGGTGTACCAAAACATTGACTGCATAATTAACCAACCAAAAGAAACTTAGCTAAATACATGCCTTAAAAATAGGACCCTGTTATAATAATACCAATGTATTGGATTAGAAACAATAATGAAATATATTGTGACTTGACTGATGACTAAGATACAACACCTCTATATAATGCCTGTTTAGTTAAGAAATTAACCTGTATACTGTTTTGTTAATGGCTCAATTACTTATTAATTTCAACTTTATTTTGTGAACTGAGGTCAAATTTTGAATGAATGTACTGTACTACTGATTTTTTAATTAAAAAGAAAACCAAATAGTTTGAGAATTTCACAAATATTTGTATCTACCGGTACTTTAAATTATGAACTGTGTCAAATTATTTAGTTCCCAAGAATGTTCATTATTCTAGAAAACCTGAAATTGCAGTTGCTGTGAATAAAACTTTCCTTTAGTAAAGCTGAAAACAGTAAATTGAGTTATGGGCAACACCAGTGGTAAAACAATTCATAAATGATCAGAAGAGAAACTTTTCTAAAGGTGGTTCTTGGTGACCGAGGCTCAACTTTCATGGAAAATACCAAAAAAAAAATATATATAATGTATGTACACATTGTGGAAACTGATGGAGTCAAGGTGCAGTATGTGATGATATAATTATTTTACTTGTCTTGGCAATACAGTAATAATAAACACCTTTAGCATTAAATAAAAGTTTACAAACTACAGTATATTTTCTTCTTAACTGACTGGACTTAGATTTATTTGAGCTCTGAAAATATTGAATATTTACTGACACAGTATTGCAATTTCTATGTAATATGTATGTTATCCTTGAACCAATGTCACAAAGAATTGATTCTTTAAATCCTTAAGGTCTGGTTGACTTGCATTTTGTATGTGAACACAATGTAAACATACACTGAAACTGGTGTGTGTATGCTTATGTATGTTTATACATATCACATGTCTGTAGATTTTGTTTAGATGTACAGTACTGTATGTGTGCATGAATGTCTACATATACATGGGCATATGTATGAGTGTGCATATAAATGCATGTGTCTGTGTACACTCACCAACAAAAGTCCTGTTGCCTCACCTGCCTCTTCATGAACCCAGTGATATAGATACCTCACAGGCCTCTGTATCATTGGGTTCATGAAGTGATTGGTGAGGCAACAGGACTTTTGTTGGCAAGTATACATATGCATGTCCAGAGTACATGTCTGTATGTGCATAATTGTGTGCATGTGTATATGCACATACACAAGAACATGCACATGAGGTTTTATTAATATACCTGTATGTGTGTGGTAATGTTCTTCTGTTTTCAGTGATATACTGTATATTTGAAATGTGATTGGTGATGACACAACTGTTGTTTAGTATAACAACATTTAGGGTGCAATTTTGCTGAGCATTCTTTGCAAACAGATACCAATTTTAAATATCCATGATTTCTCTACCTCTCAAAATTGCAACACAGTAGACCTAATATGGCCAGATCCTTAATTCTAAGTCGATGTAATTCTCCTCCACAGTAGTTCAGATTCTTATATATTCCTATACATATAATAAGTCTAATTTTGCAGTGATGTATGCAAGGTATCAAAGTGTCATGAATTCAAACATAAAGTGTCTTATGAACAAGACTTTTATTTAACCTCACAGATTTTAAGCGGACAGGTGTACCACTGCCATCCACTCATACCTTAAACACCATCTCTTTCTATTTACGTTTTTATCAAGCCATGCACTTCCTTCAACTTCTTTTACTTCCTTTGTTCAATCATAAAGGAAAGGGGAAGACACACACAAGACTGTCTTGGACCGCGGCTACTCGCTCTCAGCATCGCACTGCTCATTACAATCACAGAAACTTCACAAGAGTTCTCTTCTCATATCTTCTGCACTTACAGTCTGATAATTCACACAGATCCTTATTTTCTAATTGTTTTTTAAGAGAATTCCCTTAAAATGATCTGTGTTATGTCAGAATGTAGCTTCTTAACAACCAGAGTCTTTGTGGTGAAAATGGATAGCTCAATTTCTTACCACTCGTATACTCACATGACACCTAAATCTACAATATCATCCACACTAAAATATAACAAAAAAACAACTTCTAATTCACACACAACTGTTCGTACTAAACCTAAGCATTCATTAAGACCGTAGCTAAATCTGAACATATATATATATAGATATATAATTCTGATCGTATACTTTTCTAGCGTAATTAATTTTCAAAGTGTGGGTCGTATACAATTGTCCTTGGTTTAGGTGAGGTATTTCAGTATACATCAAGAGCAAGAAAAATTGCAATCTTACAACTATGGATACATTCACTAGTTTTGGGAAATGGTGAGTTACATTAGGTAAGTTTTGATTACCACATAGTGAAAAGGGGCCTTCAGATGGCAAGAAACAGGTATGTAGTTGACAAGAGACTCATATCTTATTTTATTTACATTATAATTAGGACAGCATATATCATATGTTTAATTCATGATAAATAAGAATCAGCAGATATTTGTATTACACTTTGTTACACAAATACAGTTGATTATTAAATCAATGTAAATTTCCCTTAGCTCCTGCCGAACTGCCACCCTAATGCACCCACAGTTCTTCTGCCAGTCCACCAGCAGAAGAGTCACAGACACAAGAGTATGTGGACACTCCCGCCCAGTCTCACTAAATGTTGACCTGTTCTGCAATTAACAATTACAGTATTTTGTATGCAGAGGATTCTCCATAAACTGACTGAATTACTCAACATATCTATGACTGTATGTAAGATTTATATTCCCATGTGATGGATTGAGTATTTTAGACATTCATATTGCAGTTGGCTGCTTACACAAGAAATTTTGTTCTCATCTTTTGACTACGGCATGAGCTGTTGAAAGGCGGGAATACCCTGAGCTATGTCAAGCATATGGACTGTGTCCATTGCCGATGAAGCTGTAGGTGGCCCAGGATTGTTGGTACATTCATAATATAAGAATAATTGTATTTGGAATGAAATTAGTAATGTTGTTTCCAAATTGTGATGGTTAAATAACTTTCCTGATTTTGTAAATGCTTGTATAATACAGAAAAATAAATAATACCCTACAATTTGGAAACTATCTTCAACTAACTGTGGAGCGGGGAGATCACAACCCTAGCTGGAGGTCAGCCTCTTTCCCAGGGCCACTTTATTGGACCCATTGCCAAGACTTTGACTGGTTGCTGAGACGACCCCAGATAACCTGAGTGCAAACAGTGGTTCGACCTACAGAACTGGGTCAACTAAACTGTGACACAATCCAAAAGGGAATAGACCACCTGAACCTATCTACCTGACTTAAATGTCAAGGTCATTTGGACCTGATTTGAAGTGACAGGAATATACAAATTGTAACCTGTTTTACTTCTTTAAGCACGTTCCTCTATTTCTGGTCTCTTAGATAAAAGTGAGTCTGTGTCTGTCAGGTCAAGAGGTGTGGCTGAGGTCTCCCCTCCACTTCCATTTTCATACATCTTGCGACCAACAAGAGAGAAGGAGCCTACAGCTGGGGTTGAAGCGGAGGACTCCTCTTCATCATCTACTGTGGGTGCTCCAGACGTTGAATGGTCATCTTCATCACTTGGTAGACTTTTACTTAGCCGCTTCTCATGGTCCTGTTGAAGAGAGTCTCTGTCCTGTGATGGAGTCTCTGTTGCCTCCTGTGGGGTATGGGGTTCAGGAGCTCCTCCATCAAGGTCAGTGCTAGATGGGGAGGGCTTTTTGCTTGGCAGACGACGGGGCAAAGTATGGATGCCCATCTTCTTGATTTTATCATAAAGTGTTCGTGATGGTACTTTGTACTTCCGAGAGGCCTGCAAGTACCATAATTATTAGTTGTTGTTAAGTTTATTCTTTTCATGTAAAAATATTCTCTTGCATTAGACAGTCTCCAACACTATCTTATTTCTTACTTCTGTCCTTTAAGCTATTATTTATGAACAATTTCCACTACATCTAGTCACGTACAGTACTGTATTTATTTTCAACTAATTCCATTATTTAGATAATGTTTCTCCCTATCCTCTACAATTCTTCACTTGGCCAGATTTCTATACTGTACAGTACAAATACAGTATCTGCTTACTCTCTGCATTCATATATTTTCTTGTTTTATTTCTTTTATATTTCCCTTCTCTACTCTTAACCTAATTCTAAACCTACAGTTTCAATTCCTCTATGATTTCTGATCTTCCATACCCTATCCACTATCCTCATCATTAACATCCAACAAAACTACTAACCTGTAAAGCCGTCATGCCATTTTTTACTGCTTCAATAGCATCCATGAGATCTGCTTTGGTGTACTGTTTGTATCTCTTCCACTCTGGCTTTGGGGTCGGAACATAACTGACAAAGTTGCTGTAGTGTGAGGAGCCATTTGGGTCCAGATGGTAAGGGTTGAAGTCTGGCAGCAGAGGTCCATTGGCTAGCTGTAGGGTACCATCAGTATTATCAACTCTTATTGTCACTGCTAGATATCTACCTACATGCAATTCGCAATATTATAACAATACAGTATACAGTATCTAAAATCTTTGTATAAATGATAGTAAGTGATTATGTACTCTGTGAATCCATGTACCTTATGTTAATGACATTCAAGAATGTATTTGAGCTAATGAATTTACAGTATTTATTTATCTAGTCATGTGCTCATTCATGGATATTTTTTAAGTATATACAGTATACAAGTCTGGCTATACAAATATGTATGAATACATGGATACATATACTAGCGGTCCGACTAATTACCCAAATGTACCCAAATATAGCCGCAATGAAGTCAAATAATGGTCCTACATGAATAAATCGGACTGCTAATCACTTCTCGACTAGTATTTGGTGTCAGAAAGTCACAAAAAATTGGAAAACTTACTTTAATCTGAGTTAATAGATTGCGTGCATGTACCGAGGGAGCGAAGAATTACCCAAATGTACCCAAATGTAGTCGCAATGAAGTCAAATAATGGTCCTAGATGAATAAATCGGACTGCCAATTACTTCTCGACTAGAATTTGGTGTCACAAAAAATTGGTAAACTTAATTTAATCTGAGTTAATAGATCGAGTGCATGTACCTAACCTAACCTAACCTAACCTCGACTAGTATTTGGTGTCAAGAAGTCACAAAAAATTGGTAAACTTAATTTAATCTAAGTTAATAGATCAAGTGCATGTACCTTACCTTACCTAATCTAACCTAATCTAATCTAATCTAATCTAACCTAACCTAACCTAACCTAACACAACACAACTCAGATTAAATTAAGTTTACCAATTATTTTTGACTTTATGACACCAAATACTAGTCGAGAAGTGATTGGCAGTCCGATTTATTCATCTAGGACCATTATTTGACTTCATTCCGGCTATATTTGGGTACATTTGGGTAATTAGTCGGACCCATATACTAGTACTGTACTGCACTAGACATACTGTAAGCATATCTTCGCTTCCAATCACCGAGTTTGTAAGAACAAATGCTGAGAACCCTTGACCCTGATATCTAATAGTGACCTCTAGATTTCAAGACTATCACGCTAAGAAATAAGCTATAAAGCCAATGAGGGTTGCCTACCTCTAACACACATCTCTTACTTTTTCTTTGTTACCAACTCTCCTACACTCTCTTCCCTCCCAACTACTTTTCAATACCAAACTTCAATTCTTATGAAACTTTCTTTGGTTCCATACTACTACTACGAATAATAATAATAATAATAATAATAATAATAATAATAATAATAATAATAATAATAATAATAATAATAATAATAATAATAATAATAATAATAATAATAATAATAATAATAATAACTTGTCAGAGCAAGAGAATTTATGTCTAGGTAAAAATTCCTCTAGTACCCTTTTAATCCTTCCCTTCCCTCCTACCTTGCTTCACTTTGAGCCTCTACTCATCATCTTCTCTCCTTCTGGTACTTACCGACTCGAGCTTTATTTTATCCTGTTCGTCCTCTCGTGATATGTCAGAGAAGGTTCGCGACTCATCATCGTGAAGCTCCTTCTTGGTGGTGATTCCGTATGGAGACTGCAACAATAATAACAAACAATGTTTAACTCAAGAGATTTCATTAGGTTCCAGTTACCTGAATACTTTAGCTTTATCCCAGGCGAAGTCTAAATTATTTGTTTATTTAAATTTGTACAGGTATAACTGACAAATGCCAGGCTCCTTCTCATCTATTTTTGTTCAGTGTTTTTTGTTTTCACTGGTTTAATAACCATTCCACTAAGATTATTGAGCTCATCACCACCACTTCGTAAACAACTGACGAAGGTCAGAATGGCAAGTCATACAGGTCCTCTGTCTTTCAGTTACATGAACATTATTTACAGTAAGTTCACGTTAATGATGCTCATGATAAGTCAATTGACATATAATATGACCAAAGTACCAACCAGAGCTGCACATGAGGAATAATATGAACAGGTAGTGACACACACAATGATTAGCTACTAATGACACCTGTACAAAATGATAAACTGTATACTGTACTCATTACCTTCGAGGAGTAACAGGGAAACGAATGAAGTATATATGCTTACCTCCATGTGGTCACGATGGTCGTGTGTCATGAGCTGGGGCACGTGTGAGCTGAGGAGGCCGGGCAGGGGCATTATGGACGAGGCCAGGGACACCAACGAGCTCATGTCGGGCCCGTGGAACCCGTGGGTGTGTCCTAAGGCCGTGCGCAGGATGGGTGTCGGGGAGAGCATGGGGTCAGCTAACATGGGAGGCCGTTTGCGTTTGTGTGGCGGAGAGTCTGGGCAGTGTGGATTCATGTGAGGCATTGGGGGGATTAGTGAGAGGGACTGGCGGGTTTCTGAGTCGAGGCTCCCGGGTGTGTGGGTATCTCTGGGCTCGTGGCTCTCCCGTGGATCTCTCATATGGTCTAGTAGATGGTCTCGTAGATCACGAAGGTCACGGCTCTCGCGAAGGTCTAGTTCACGGATGTCTCGGTGTTCTCTGTGGTCCCTGAGGTCTAAACGAAGGTCTCTGTGGTCCCTGTGGTCTGGGCGGTGGTCTCTGTGGTCTGGGCGATGTTGTGGGCGGTGTGGAGGGAGACTTGGTAGGGGCAGCGAGTAGGGGGGAGGTGTAGGGGAAGACAGGCGGACCTGTTCATGGGTAGAGACAGACGGGGGGGCGGTGGAGGTGGGCGGCTCTGGTCGAGAACGAGGCAGTTCCTGGTGAAGGCGGGTATCCACTGGGGCAATGGGTGGGCGGGCGGCCTCGTGTGGGGACGGTAGGCGGCGGGTGGCCGTGTCATTGCCCAGTTCCTCCACTAGGCCCTTGACCTTGAGGCTCTCAGCCACTTTAAGGAGGCCCTGTAGGGCGTCGTGCTCGACGTTTACCTCGCCGCGATACATGTATTCGAGCAGGGCCCGCATGTCGCACGCCCGCACATCCTTCAGCACCACGATGGGGTGGTTGGCAGCGCAGGCGTTGACGAAGAGTGACTGGAAGTAGGAGGAGCATGCAGCGAGGACTAGGCGATGGGCGTGGAGCGTGACACCCTCTTCACACGCCAGTGTTACGTCGGTGAATGCCTCCACGTGCAGGAGCTGGTCGAAGGCCGCCAGCAGATTGTTTCGGTGGTTGTTCCAGCGGAGACAGTACTGCGAGCTGCTCCCCATTGTGCCGAACCCTCCCTGTTGGACAGAAACAGCACACGTTAGTACAAAACTGGAGAAACAACTGACTTATAAATGTATACACCTTCAAGGGGATATAAAACATACAAGTTGGTTCATCGCCATAAAACAACAGCTGCTCACTCCTTCCTGTCAGACACAACCACAAACGATAATGTCAGTACAAATTGTGATGAAACAGGAGCTGGCTCATGCTGCATTACTGTCTACTGTGTCATGCTTCCGTTCTTGAACTTCTTGTGACCCTTCCCTCCCTCCCTCTCCCTTCACAAAACACTTCACGATGGCGTCCTGATTCCTGTAGTATTCCAGTATCTACAAGTCTGTGTATCACGTTCTTATCCCGTGATCTGATAGACACTTCATTCCCCAACCCTCCCACTCCTTTACTAAATATATCCCTCACACCCACCCACCCGTTAACAGACTGGCGAATAACCTTAAACTCTACCTACAGTAATGCGGGAAAGTGATGGGAGTTTTGACAACAACAAACAGTACCGAAGTATTGCGTAATAAGTGTTATCGGTGTGAATATCTGAAGACTAGCTGCAGTAATCTTATTCATAATCATCACTTGAGGCCCATTCATATCTCAAGCTTAGGGATTATGTCTAGAATTGTGGAATGTTGGTAAACTTGAGTGTGAGGCGGGTATACTCGAGGGTAGGGTGACTATAGCGGGTATACTCGAGGGGGAGGTGTGTATGTGTAAAGAAGTGGACATATTGGACACTTTTGCCGATCAATAAACAAATATTAAAAAAATTGTATGAAGTATAACGGTAGACCAGTCGGTGTACATTCCAGCAGCGTAACTCACCACCGAATTAGTTGGTTACTGTTAGATTAGTTAGATAGTTGGGTTAGATTAACACGGAAGCTGAGTTAGATTAGTTAGGTAATTTAGTCAGATTAGTACGGTAGTCAGGTCTAGATTAGGTAGCTAAGTCGGATTTAGTTAAGTAGCTGGTTTAGATTAGTTCAGTAGCTGGGTTAGATTAGTAACTTGGTATTTTTCTTCATTCATTTTAGTCATGGTTAGGTTAGGTTAGGTTAGGTTAGGTTAGGTTAGGTTACACTCACTCAATACCGTAGTTACATATTATAATTTCCTTTCATTAAAAACACCCCTAAGTGAGAAAAAAAAAATATATTAGTATATAATATAAGCGAACTATTCCTGTAGAAGTGAGTGGCATCAATCACTACCACCTCGCCAGCTAACATCACTTCCACTATTTTTTTTTTTACCCACTTTTCCTCGCGATGAGTCTGACACATAATCTACACCATCAAGGGCTTACTTATTCCTCACATCAACATTCTAAACAGCCAAGTTAGTCTGGGTAAAAGGCACTCTGCATGCTATATACCTTGTGGTCTAGTTGTCATGGAAGTTTTAGGTCAATATGAAGTAAGGAGAGATCACGGGTCATATAGCGATTCAACTCCAGGATTAAACTTAGGCCAGTAGTGCTTCTATACCTGAAGCTCTAATGCTCCGTAGAGGCTCTAGTGCTGCTCTGTTTGCGTTCTGAGGTTTCTCTATATGCTCTAGTGCTTCTACCTAAATTATTGCCCAACCCCCCCTCCTCCCTCTCCCACCTACCACTATGTAAGGCTATCCAAAATACAAACTTCTTCAATAAATAATTTACTGGACGTTAGATGACATTTATTATTATTATTATTATTATTATTATTATTATTATTATTATTATTATTATTATTATTATTAGTAGTAGTAGTAGTAGTAGTAGTAGTAGTAGTAGTAGTAGCAGTAATAGTAGTATTTACGCCAAAAGGATTGTTGTACGTATTATGAGAAAGTCCAAATGACCCAAACAGGCCTTCCCAGCTGAGGTGAAGTGCAAGGATAGGGTCTAATGACGATGGAGGTGGGGAGGAGCTAAGTGGTCGTAATCACACTATCAATCTGGTGTTCACAGTTGCAAACTTTAGACCATCAATATTGCCCCCACATCACCCCCACACCACAACATCACCCCCACACCCCAACATCACCCCCAACACACCCCAACATCACCCCCAACATCACCCCAAAACATACCTCCACATTCTACACTTAAAGTACATATCTAAATGCATTTTTTCATACTAATATCAAGTATTTCAAAGACATTTAAGGGACTTGTTTACACGTTTTAAATCTTGTTAGTCTAATTATCTACGACTGTTGCAACATCTGGCACTGACTATTATCTTCACCGATAATTATTATACTGTGTGAAGTGAGTGGGTTATACACGAGTGTTATTTTCCGCCTATTGTAGTATAAATTTTCCTTGAGATAAGTACTGTGCCTTCTCCACTCTCATACTATCGTCTACCACACGTTACGTTACCCCCCTCTCCCTCCCTCCCTCCCTCCCTCTCTCTCTCTCTCTCTCAAGACCACCCTCTTTGCGCCACTCTCTTACCCCTCCCCTACGCACACACCGCTTTAACAAGTGATACAAAAGAACTACAAAAGAAATATATTAATACCCTCTTTACTGATGCCATCCCTTAGAGCATCAAGTTACAAGTAGAATACAAGATTACAGTAACCTCGTAACTACTGAATTATACGTTATATTATGTGGTGTGTGTGTGTTAAGGTGTTATACGGACTAATTAACATGATGGAGGTTAAATAATAGGTATTTATAATACATAATATCATCTCTCCATCACAGCATATCTCCATCGCAGAAATATCTCCACCACAGCATATTTCTACCACAGCATATGTTCATCACAGCATATTTCTACCACAGCATATCTTCATCACAGCATATTTCTACCACAGCATATCTCCACCACAGCATATTTTTACCACAGCATATTTCTACCACAGCATATTTCTACCACAGTATCTCTCCCCCACAGTATCTCTCCCCCACAGTATCTCTCCACCACAGCATCTCTCCACCACAGTATCTCCACCACAGCATCTCTCCCTCACAGTATCTCTCCACCACAGTATCTCTCCACCACAGCATCTCTCCCTCACAGTATCTCTCCACCACAGCATCTCTCCCCCACAGTATCTCTCCCCCACAGTATCTCTCCACCACAGTATCTCTCCCCCACAGTATCTCTCCACCACAGTATCTCTCCACCACAGTATCTCTCCCCCACAGTATCTCTCCACCACAGTATCTCTCCACCACAGCATCTCTCCACCACAGTATCTCTCCACACACTTTTCTATGGATTAATTTTACAGTAATTTTAAGTAATTTATTTTGTATTTTTGAGTCACTGTTAATTAGCGTTTTGGTATGGCTATAGGTTAACCACTGTACCTGTGTCTTGGTAAATTTAGTGCACCTGTTAAACTCTTGATGCTAATTACTGTACCTTGATCAGGTTAATTACAATACACCTGACAGCGAGTTTTCAGTGGTGTTGTATCGAGGTTAATTTATCACCTTGACCTACTAACCCCAAGCGTTAATGTAACAGTGCGACAAAAGTGGTGTGGGGTTATTAAATGTTAACTTCTGTCAACCATCTAGGGGTTAAATTACAATCACAAACATTTTAACGAAGCTATAGTGTTACATTCACAGTACAATCCACGATAAATGTGTTTCATTAACATAAGTGGAAATATCACTTGAAATGTGTTACCTGGAGAATAGGTTAAAGTGACGTAAATATAACGTGTGCGGAGAGTTGAGAATCCCTGTCAGATAATCCGGATGTTCACCCTTATTAACACGGCAATTCATCTCTTGGTTTTAAATCATAAGTACCTGTATGGCAATAGTACCCCGAGAGCTCTTAATACGGGTATATGGTTATGGTGGGAAATGGTTAGTGGAAGCGTTGTGTATGGCTAGTGGCAGAAGCTGAGAGGCTCATATACAGTATACTGTATGTATGTATGGATGCTATCACACACACACACACACACACATGTCTGGAGATGCACCGTTGGTACATACACATGCAATGGCGCACGTAAACCTGCAAAAAAATTTCATGTACACACACACACACATACATACACACACACGTGGTAGCACTCACGTCCACATACTGAGGTTCACTCTTACATACAAACACAATTCATTTTCCGTTATAAAAATATATTCACCCACCCATGTACACTCGCGCACACGCAAGCACATAGAAGCGTAAGATGCATACACACCCACACGCGCGTGCACACACGCGCGCACATACACACGCCCACACAGGTACACACATACTCACATACGTGGACCTAAACGTTTACTCTTCAGGTACAAACACACAGAGAGACACACCACAAGCTAAGCGTCCAAGAAGCCTTACCTCTCGCAGCTTCATATCCTGGAGGTGAGGCGGAGGAGGAGGGGAGTAGTCAGCTCTTGCCTTGCCAAGGAGCAAACTAAACCAGTGTTTATCCGTGACCAACTCAGGGGCATAAGCTGCAGTAGCCTCGTAGCCATGCATTTAAGATCACTAAAAATACTCGCACTTCACCAAGCTGAGGAGGAGGGGGGAGGGGCGAAGCGAGTGTCGCACACACACACACAGCCGCGATACGAGCACTAAGCGCCAACACTCACCACTCTCTAGTACAGTTCCTCTAACACACACATAAGTCACTGGTGTGCTTAAAATGAGGCGATTTCAGAGGTTAAAAGTATCCAGTCGTATGGTTAAATATCGGGGTAGTGACCAGTGGTGTGCTGGAGGAGGTGCAATGCGCGGAGCCACAGCTTAGAATGAACGACAGTCGGGGCATGCACTCCGTTTTCTTTTCCAATGACGTATGCGGGGAAGCGGCCCGGCCAGGCTTAAGGGCGGAGTGAGCACTCGTTGCACAATGAATGACTCAAACATTCGTTCTTCTGTTATATTGCTCGTCGATATTTTCCCAGTATTTGATACCAAGATCTGTGATATAAAATAACTGATGTATTGGTAGATGAGGAGGAGGCGGCAAGGGAGAAATAGCCAATAAAGGAGAGAGTGAGAGGGAACGATAGCGGCGAATAGAGGGACGAAGTCACATGACCCCCAACACCCACGTGCCGGCCCGGCTCACTGGTTTTGCAATATTCTCGCAACTTTGCAACCTCGACAGCGGTTCGCAGAAGTGAAGATCCTGATGCATGGTGGGCCGCGTGGTGTGGGAGAGGCTGCCACTCTAGGAAATTGTGGCAAGATGAGAGGGGAGTTTCCGGGAACTGATCGTCTAATAAAAACACCGATTTAAGTCTTGACGTCTTACGGAAAATTTTTAAAAGGTAACTATACGAACAAATGGGACTGTGTTTGTTGAAGTGAGTAATGTATATATATATATATATATATATATATATATATATATATATATATATATATATATATATATATACCATTTTTTAAAATACATTAATACTGTTGTCATGTAAGTCAAGAATACAACAAAAACCTGTCATATATTTGAAGACCCTGAACAAGTGACCTGTAACACGTACAGTACAGTACAGTACAGCAACTGTATATAAAACAATCAAGTGAAAAGTTAGATATGGTGTAAAGACTAATTAGTAAATAAGTGACTGACGGAGAGCTTTAGGTGTATAAGGTGATAATAAGCTTATCAACTCAGGTGGTCACTGGTTAACTATCACCGCCAGCGTCGCCATGTATCCTGTCTACCGCTACAACCACCGGAAGGTATACCCTGATAATAACCCCTAAACATGATGAAATAACTGCTGATAACCTGGATAGTTGTAATAAAAAAATCGTGCGTGTTTTTGCATCAGCCCGGCGGGAAATACCAGAGCCAGGTGGTGCAAGAGCCTGACTGTCCACGACGCCCGTTTTCTTGGTGAGGCGGCGACCTTGGTGGGGGGGATCACTATCACATTTCATTGCTCTGAATTTTGTTGTTGTGCTGTTTGCCTTTGATTTTTACATTCAACATCGCTTGTCTCGTTAATCACCACATTACAGCGCTTAATATATACACACATATACCCACGCCATCAACTAATTCTGACTATATACACAATAAATACAAATTTCGCACGGTGACATTTAATCGACAATTGAGCGAAATTTGAGGTAAGAGAGTTGCGCCAGCCTGTCAGGAAATACCCAACAGCAGCACCATGAATCACAAGTGGTTTGTCGTCGGACGTTCCAGGCTACAGCTAAACCTTCAGTAATCCTGTACTTACTTACGGAATTTACGCACTGGCCTACCACCCTCTTTCCTTCCCCCATCACAACCCCGACTCCACCCAATTTATGACCCCATTAACAGAATTAAATCAACAACAACAAAAAATCAAACCTCTCTGCTGATGTGGCACCGATCGAAACACGAACTGGTGACTTGACCTTTTATCGTGACCTACATACTGCAGCAGTTCACACAGGCAAAACACTCGAGTGAAATTCAATAACTTGTGTCTTTTTTTATATTATTTAAGTCAAATCAAATCAGCTCTCCTTGGCTACGTTTGCCCCAGATGGGTGGAGAGGGAGAGGGGGCTGGGGACAACGGGGTCCAGATAAAAAACCCCAGTTAAATTGCAAAATAGGTTAGGTTAGGAATTGTAGTCTTATATTTTATATGCCAGAGAAGTGTTCATAAACTGTAAATAATGAAGAATAATAATTATTCAAAAAAATTCTTATTATAATTTGCCCTAGGGGGCTTTTGTCCGGGGAGGGATTTTGTCCGGGGGACATTTTGTCCTATACTCGCAGGGGGCAACACGCGACCATTTCTTCGAAGCTTACGCAGTATCTATCAATAAGAGAAAGAAGACGATGAAAAGATAAGATAACACAAGTGATTGTACCCTCACCCCACCCCTCCCCCTCACCCCCTCCCCCCTCACCCCTGTTTAAGCTTCCAACCAGAACAAACATAAAGGCACAAAACCCAGAGTTGCACTACACATCGGAAATTCCCAAATCAACTCTCTCGGTAATGTTCAACTGTCCTCCCCCCCTCCTCCTCCTCCAACACAGTGACACCCATCCTCCTTCACTCACTCTCCACCTCTCAACCTCATCCTATTCGCATTCTAACTCATTCTACTCAACCTAACTCACTCATTTCACCATAGATTATTTCCAACGTTCAGAACTAAATCGTTACGTGAGTGTAAACGACATTTTAGTTGTTAGTAGATGATATTGAATACAATTTACAGTTGATTGTGAATGATGATGATGATGATAATAAGTAATAATAATAATAATAATAATAATAATAACACATTATTAACGACACTTTCTGTTACTAAGATCATCAACAGAAAAACAATAATAATATATTTCTATTTTTAAGTTGCCACAAGATATTAATTAGCCTACACAACGTAACATATTTCAAGCTTTAAAGTTTGTGAGTGAATAACAGTCAGCCCAGCACTCAGGAATGACTGTCACAGCCCAGGAGTAGGATGTTACAGTCAGTGGTGATGCAGACAGTTATCTTGTCCCTGACCAGAGTGGAGGCCGCGGGTGGTGGGTGGGTGGGTGGGTGGGGAAGGGGTAGGGTAGGGTGGGGCTACCAGCGAGGTCAACGGGTGCTCGGTAACACTCTCCACCATCGTCAAGGTCAACAGAGGTCGTACTGTAAATGCAAAGCGGAATTGATCTTAATCTCTCTCTCTCTCTCTGTCTTTCCCTTTCTCTCCCTCTCTCTCTCTCTCTCTCTCTTCCCCTCTTTCTCTCTCCCTTCCTCCCTCTCTCCCTCTCTACTATCTTAGGATCCCTGATTTGTACAGCAGGCTGATATTACTTATCTCAAGACCAAGACCAGGTGCTTATGACTGAAGGTGTTCACAGTGCTCCTGCTTCTCATGTTTGCTTAGTCTCAAGGTCGACCTCAACGCAACACACACACTAAACTACTAATGGCCAAGCAAAATTTTCCTGGTATTCATTAAAACGTTATTGCCGATGCTTCCTATAATTCGTTACCATTACGTTATAAGATCCCAGGTAAAATATACATAAATTACAGTAAAATTAGACTGTGGTATAGTTTTACGAGGGTGTTGGTGATGTAAGTAGTGACAGCATCGATATAGACTGTATGTACTGACAGCATCTTCATCTTTCTGTATTTTGCTTCATACACTCTCATGTTTTCTATCTCATTACACATATTATACTTATGGCTACTGTCCCTTATTGTTCATAACCCCCACAACACACACTTCCCTCTCTCTCCCTCTCTCTCTCCTCTCTCTTCCTCAACACACACCTCCATCCCTCTCTCTCCATTAACACACACCTCCCTCCCTCTCTCTCTCTCCCTTAACACACACCTCCCTCCTTCTCTCTCTCTCACACACACCTCCCTCCCTCTCTCTCTCTCCCACACACACCTCCCTCTTCCTCAACACACACCTCCCTCCCTCTCTCACACACACCTCTCCCCTCTCTCCCCAACACACACCTCCCCCTCCTCACTCTCTCCCCCAACACACACCTCCTCTCTCTCTCAACACACCTCTCCCTCCCTCAACACACACCTCCCTGCCTCCCTCTCTCCCTCAACACACACCTCCTCCCTCTCCCCCACCCACCTCCTCCCCTCCCTCCCTCTCCTCAACACACCCTCCCTCCTCCCCCTCCCTCCCTCTCTCTCCCTCAACATACACCTCCCTCCCTCTCTCTCCCCCAACACCCACCTCCCCTCCCTCAACACCTCCCTCCCTCTCTCTCCCTCAACACCCACCTCCCTCCCTCCCTCTCTCTCCCTCAACACACACCTCCCTGCCTCCCTCTCTCTCCCTCAACACACACCTTCCTCCCTCCCTCTCTCCCCCACAACACACACTTCCCTCCCTCACACTCCTTCACTGTCTGTAGTCCAAGTCTTCCTCCTGTCAACACCGTCACCTCCACCTACAGTACGTGACATCAAGCCTGAAAATTTTTCTTGCAGCTTTGGCAATGTGACTTTCAAGTCAATGATAGATTAATTTACATGCTGCAAGTCGTCTCGTTGGCAACAAACATCAGGGTGAGCGATCAAGCACCCATGAGTGCCGTGCAAACGTATAAGTTAAGTTACGGGAAGCGGGTGACTCTTGGAAGTGTCGGAGTTGGGGCAGATTGATAACAGGTCCCGGGCTGCCGCCTCGTGTCTTTTGCGTCTCATTTAAAAACCGTCAAGATTAAGCCGTACGCCGATACCTTACCACCATGTTATCTTTTAATGGACGGCAGCAAACTACGCCTTCTCCTCCCTCATCTACAGTACCCAGGGTGGCTGAGAGGCCTTTCCGATAATTCGGGATTTTCGAGGGAACCAGCGAGGCTGACCAAGTAGTTCAGGAGAGACCTTTCACATACACTGCTGGCGAGGGTCTGAGTGAAGTATTTGTTAGGTGAACACTGTTAGTGAAGGCGACCTAGCCTAACCTAACCTAACCCTCGGAGGCTAATTACCCCTTGTGGTCGCCATCTCACTCTTATTACACAATCTTTCCTCTTAAAGATAAACTATTGCAGCTGACAGGAGGACGAGTGTGGACATTAGGTGGTGCACCTGCTTCTGAGAATCTGGCTGCTCAGACTATCGCCACCATTGGCGGGAAATGGCAGCACTTTCTGATAGTCACCACTGACATGATAGACGCAGGAGCTTATCAAACTCTCTTTCTCACTAAGCGGTTATTCTCGCAACACGAAATTTCATTGTAATCACTTCATAAAGGCGTCTAGCATAAAAAACGCCACTACTAAAAAACACAGAACCTGGCGCAATCTCGTTTCACTGCGCAATCACACTTGTCAAAGATACGTCTGATGAATGTTCTTTCCACTTATTGCCTGCACTG